TGACAGGCTGGCGTTCCGCACAGAAGCACCACATAAGAAAGACCTGGTGATGTACTCAATTCCAAACAACAACAACAACAAACAATGATTAAAACCCTAACAGAACACCCATGGGGTCCACATGAGCTGGAAGTGACTCAGCGGCAAACAGTTTGCTTTTGCTTTTTGTAAAGAAAGGACGTAATTCCAAGAAAGTTCACTGTCTTGGTGCCATGGCTATAACTCTCACAAATACCAACAAAAAGTCTATCAAGGCAAGCCAGATGAGGTCAGTCTCTAATTGGCCACACTGGTTTATGACCCACCAGGGCCATTTATAACCATTATCACCCTGGGCCAAGTGCCTTTCATTTCCACTCTCCTTTAGCAGCCCTCCTTAACTGTTCCTTGCATAAATACTTAAAGAGAAAAAGGGGAGGATGTTTTCCTAAAAGCAGATATTTTATATTGGAGGCCTAATAAAAACAAATAACTACTTGAATTAAGAAGGAAAAAAGAGGACAACTTTCTTAAAAATGTGGTTAATTTTGCTTTAGGGGAGATAAGGGTCTCATTATTTTAAAGGGGATATTTTAGAGACTTCAAGTTCTGTTTTTTAGGTAAAAAAAAACATTTATTCTGATTTCTAAGTAAACTAAAATGAATAGAAATAGTTATTACAAAAGAGGCCAAATAAGTGAGAGAAGTTCCCTCTACCAACAGCATCAGAATCCTAGTCTAAATTAGCAGAGATGCGCAATAGTTGTCTGCAGGACTGTGCACTATCAAAGTGCACAGACCACTTCTGGGGCCTTCGCACTCCACGCCCTGAGTTGAGCTCCCCCCCACCTCCCCCAACAGTGTCAACAGCAGTTGCTGGAGAAAGTCAAGCAATGAAGTCTGGAGTTCAGATAATAGTAATGTAGCAATGCCAGGTTCTTAGTTTTGACACCAGGTACCAAGGTCATACATGATGTTAACAGTGGGGAAACCTGGGTGATCAACGAGGTAAAAATGCTCCACTTTCACACAATAGCACAGCAGTGAACTGGCAATGAGCACGAGGATGCTACAGGACCTGGCAAAGTTCATGTCTATGTTGCAAAAGGTCCCCATCACCTTGTGGTATCACTCCATGCACCATTCTGTATCCACCCTTAAAATCTTTGACAACGACTAACAACAACAGCACAATTATCTCCAACTAGTCTATTTAAAAACAAAATGAAGTTGTCCAAAATCCGAGTCCCCTGGGTTTAACTATAAAGCTCTTATTCCCCCAAAACACAGAGGAAAAAACACAGTAGTCTCCAGCTTTACTACAGAAAATATAGCCCTGTACCTCTACTTCTGATTAAGAAGAAGAGTTCAAGCCAAAGACAACAACTGCCAAAGGTGTCTTGATAACACACAAGCAGAGCTTATTTTGTGTGGTCCTAAGGGGCTATCTTTAAACCAACTTACATAACTCAAATCACATTTTGAGCACACACTATGGAGCCTTGGTCACATGGTGGGTTAAATGATGGGCCGCTAAGCACAAGGTCTGTAGTTCAATCCCAGCAGCTTCTCTCAGGGAGAAAGACGAGATTTTCTTTCTTCTTCTTTTTTTAATAAATCATTTTATTCGGGGCTCATACAACTCATCACAATCTATCCATCCATCCATCCATTGTGTTAAGCACATTTGTTGCCTTCATCATTTCCAAAATATTTTCTTTCTACTTGAGCCCTTGGTAACAGCTCCTCTTTTTTTCCCCCTCCCCACCTATTCCTGTAAAGAGTTAGTCTTTGAAATCCATAAGGGAAGCTCTACTCTGTCCTATTAGGACACGGAGCCAGAATTGATACCATGGCAATAAGTTTGGATTTTGAGTTGAATGAAGTTCATGCATTTAAAAAGTTGTTCAGTAAATACCTGGATAATAGGAAGAATTATTATCTAATGAAAAGGGCTGCAATCTCATTACTTGTTCAAAGAAGTTGGCTTTGCAGGCACCACATCTGTCCTATGCATAAGCCTTCCAGGCAGCCCTAGCCTCGTGGGCCTTCACAGTTCTGTTTCTCTCACCCTCTATATTAGTCTGGGTACTTTGGAGAAACAAATCCATAGCAATTCACGTATAAGAGAGAGTTTTATGTAAAGAAAATGTGCATCATGAAAACACCCCAACCCAATGCTGCCCAAGCCCACAAGTCCAACATTAACCCATGAACCCAACACCAGTCCACAAAGTCCTCCACCTCACAAATCAGAGGCA